CTTTCTACTCCGGTAAACAGTTACCATCTGGGAAACCCACAGGGAGTCGCTATGAGTCAGCAATGACTCAGTGCCAGTGAGAGAATAGCCCATGGTATGGTTGATATTTTTTGCCATTACCACATATGCTATAATTTATTGTGATTATAAATATAAGGCATTCAGATTAAAAGTCTGTATAAAATAATATTGAAGAAACATCACTTAGAGTTTTCCAGTTTATCGAAACTATCTAAGATTACATCAGTAAAAAGTAAAGCAGGTTTTATAATGATATTTCATAATAATGAGATGACAGTATAGTTTTTCAGTTGTAGATTTTTGTTTTCTCATTTTGTTACTTCCACAGAAAATCTGATTAAATACATAAGTTTTTAAAAAACAAAGGTAAATAACTATGATTATCCTGAAGTAATTTTAGAAGAGTGATAATACATTTACTTATGGATTATCTCATTATTCAACATTTTGCATGACTATGACAAAAAACTGTTATCTGACTGTTTTGCACATATCAAGAACCTATGTATGGCAGTAGATGGGCTAGTTAAGGTTATGTGTCAAATTAGCTGGATTCTGGTACTCGTGGGTTGGCTGTTACGTACTGATGTGATCATACTCCATTTTGTGATCTGATGTGATCATCCTGTATTTTTACATAATGCCTATTTTTGCATATTAATCTGATCTTTGGAACTTAACTGTATCAGTAAGTGAAGAATGGACATGGTTAAAATTGGATAATTTGCAATGTGCCTAAAAAAACCTATGCAACCTATGAAGAAACATTAAAACTGTAAACTAACATTTTTGTATCACCTATGAGTTTGACCCTAGGCCAGCTATCACATTAATATAAGCAACTTACCTGAATAATAATAATCTTTCCATCATACATCATACATCTGGGAATCCTCAAAGAAATATTTTCTCTGAATTAGCTTAAATATCATGGTCTAGACTTTACAAAGGATTAGTAGTCTTTTAAAAAACTATTTGAAAGGCATTTTTGTTTAACAAATAAGATAATTTTTAAATGGCTAGATACTGCCCAAAATCTCATATACCTAACCCAAATACACTGCCATCAAGTCAATTCTGACTGGTAGTGACTGCCCTGGTGTCACAGTGGTTAGTGTTGAGCTATAATCTGCAAAGTCAGCAGTTCAAAATCACCAGCAGCTCTGCAAGAGAAAGACCAGGCTTTCTACTCCCCTAAACAGTTACAGTCGCAGAAGCTCACAGGGCCAGTTCTACCCTGTTCTATAGGGTCTCTGAGAGTCAGTGTTCACTCGATGGCAGTGGAAAAAAGTGATTTGGAATAGCATCTCTGAGACTGGGAATCTTTACAGGAGCAGTCTGCTCTTTCTCCCATGGACAGCTGGTGAATTTGAACCACTTGTTGCCAACCCACAGTGCCATAAAGAACCTAAATTATTATTATAGTCAGCTCCAGGAAATATGCATATAATGCATACTATTTTCCTATTCAAATGGCTAACCTCTCTTTTAAAAGAAAATGAAATGTGTAGGTCCCAAGACAAATAAAATATGTTCCTCAGAAGCAGAGGAACTTCTCTAAGTTTCCTGATGGCGACAAACCCTGAATTGGTGTCTGGCTCTCCTGATGTTTACTCCAGATCACTTTCCGCCGCCACTGGCTGCCTCTGAGGATTATAAACTGCAGAAACACGGCAGCACGCAGCAGTAAGACCTTTGCACGGCAAAGAATATCCATGGTGCAGACTCGAGCATGAATTCTCAAGGAATTTGCTATTTCTGAAATTACTCGGATAGGTAATACTTAAAATTGAGTATTTCTTTACAAGTTCTTTGATAGATTGGTGAACCATTCCGCGGTATTCAAAACATGTAAAGCTTGCTGTCAAGGAAACAAATATCCTCTTCTCCAAAACTCTCAGGTCATATTCTTGGCAGATAGAAAGCTGGGAAACCCACTTCTCTCCAACCCTACCCAGGAAGGGAAGTTGGCTCTGTCTTTCTTAGAGCAGTGAAGGAGAATCTCGATGGGCACACAAACCTCAAGCACACAAATTTGGAAAGGAGAAGGGAGAAAGAATGGAGAGAGAGAGAAGGGGGTGGAGAGAAGAAAGCAAAAATAATCAAAGAGACTAAGGATGAAGATTTCTCCTGAATCTCTTTCAGAAAAGAATGTGACAATTCAAGCTCTACTACAATACATAAGTGTCTCCTACACAAACATCAGAAACGTTATTTAGATTTCGGCCCACGCTGTTGGTCTCAGAGCCTACTGAAATTCGGATGCTTGCATGATGTAACTTCAAGGTTACTGTTGAAGAATACATCCTCTCTTCCTATTCTTGACACTTCGTTTTCAGACTGAAATATTCAAAAATTAAAATTTAGTGGGTTTTATTTGACAATCATTACCAGAACTTACCTCATTCCGTTCTTTTTGATTTCATGACCATAAATTCGAATTTCTTCCTGGGTTGAAAAGAACAAGCTGATTGACCGATGACAAGAATACACTGAACCGCGACATTTAGGGCTATTATGAACCTGAAAGGGAGAGAGAAAGCTTATAGATCTTAATTTGAATTAATAAAACCAAAATGTGTGTTTACAGTTTTAAAAATTAACTACACTAATTAAAGATTGCATGAAACTACAAAATACATCTAAGATCCAGAGGAAGATGCCTAGAAAGAAATGCACGAATCCATTCAAAAAGATAACTCTTGACTGATAATTCTAATGTTACTCTTGACCTTTTCCTGAATTAACCAAATTTTCCACAAAAGAAGTGTACTGTTTTGGTTTTTTTTGTGTTTTTTTTTTTAGAAGTGTACTGTTTTTATAATTAGGGAAATACAACACTTAAAATATGTAGAACTGTTGATTTGGAAGCAAATTCCACCATATGAAACTAAACCAGAAATAATGTCTATTAGTATTGGAAATACAGCATAGTAATATGTCCTATTATCAGAGGATAGATTATCTAGCTAACACCTTGGTTCTCAGAAAGGTAAGACACTGGACCAGAGCTCCACAGTGAAGGAGTCAGAGGCAGGTGGAGTGAAAGTTACCAGGAGATGAGGGAGAAAAGGGCAATAAGGTCACTGAGAATGGATGTCTGGCCAACAATGAAGGCTCATATTACTAACTTCCCTACCTAGAAAATCTCTAAGTCTATAGCCTTAGGTTCCATAAATTCACTTTTGATGTGCCTTATGCTCTTTGGCAGGGCTTGGGGGTCACAAAGGTATGCTGCCCTTAAAGAGCTTTAGGGATTAGTTTAATATTTGCATCACCAAGAAAAAGAGGAGAATTTAGGCAAAAAATGGTGGGGTAGGTGGGGGTAGACAGGGATTCAAGCAAATTATGGGGACAGGGAGTTTTAGCTTGTGAACAGGAGAGCATAGCCGTTTCCTGGTTGTGCACTGGGATGCCTAGAGGAGGAAATGGGTACTCAGGAGTGACATCCTCATTGCACTCCATCACCTAGCGCAGCTCTGCCGCTTGCATTTCAGGGAGGCTCCTAAGAGTTCTTTTGAATCAAAGCATCTGCAACTGAAAACCAATTTTCTGAGCACAATCATAGAATATCAACTATCCAGAAATTAGCAATCTATCTCCTTAGCCTATAAGCTGCATTTATGCCATTCATGCCCTCTATTGCATGAACGCCAGCTTTCTTTCCATCAGTGACATAGACATTGTCTACGTTACCTGTGAGCCCTTGCCGTATCGAAGCCCTACCTCTCCCACCTTGACAAAGCCTTACTCTATCTAGCTACAGAGCCACTCCATCCACTAAGCACCAATCTTTCTCCTTCTCTCACGTTCCTGAATATTCTAGCAGGGTGATTGCTTATTTTCCCAATAATTTAAAAATAGAAATGTTTCCCCAAAAATTAAATTAGTTATGTTCGAGTATCACCTACCCATACTGTATACTGAGGCTCCAAATTATCACAGTCCTTTGCCAAAATGTATGAACAGTTTCCTGGGAAGTAATAGTAGATGCCGTCAAATGTTTCAAAGTGGTACTGTCCCCAGGTTCTGCAAATCCCATCTCTGCCATTCCCCATATTTGGGACTGAAAAGAAATAGGATAATATTGAGTTGAATAAGACAATTACATATGTTTCTGGCAAGAGTCAGGCATGACAGATAATTCCAATTTCCATAAAAATAAGCATTTTCCTTATTTGATGGTCTACATCAGTGGTTCTTAACCTGTGGATCATGACCTCTTTGGGGGTCAAATGACCCTTTCATAGGGGTTTCCCAATTCATAACAGTAGCAAAATTACAGTTATGAAGCAGCAACGAAAATAATTTTATGGTTGGGGGCGGGGGGGGTGGGGGTCACCACAACATGAGGAACTGTATCAAATCGTCGCAGCATTAGGAAGGTTGAGAACCACTGGTATATATCAGGGAAGCAATAGTAAATTAAAATGACTAGTTTCTTTCAAAACAAATCTTTAAGCTGTTACCAAAAAGAGAACGTTTCAGTAACTCCTTTTAATATTTGCCCCCAGAAGAAGACTCCAGAAGAAAGCAAGAAGAAGGGAAGCAACACAGCAAAAGAAGAGTTAGAACAACTGTCCTGGCTCCGTGAAGAAAGAAAGGTCCTAGAAATTAGCTCAGAAAACATTAGTGTTTCAGAAAATCCTAACAAACCACGTTAGAAAATACAGCCACTGAAACTTTATGGTGCACAGTTCTACCGGGGCACAAATGGGTGGCCATTGATTCAAACCAAACCAAACAAAAAAAATCTTAAAAGGTAAAAATAATTTAGGAAATAGAGAAGTAGACACCTGTGAGACAAGGAAATAGGCATATCTAGTATTTTCTTTAAGGTTGCTTCTGAATAACCTCAATTTCCTGAGAGAACTGTGTGCATTCTGAGTAGTACACTATATAATTACTCCAACTCTCCACGGATGTGTGCTACCAAAGTAAATTATGCCATAATGTTCCCTTCCTTATCTCATATTTTCCTCCAAAGTACCCCTGAAACTTACTAATCTGGCACCTTGTCCCAAGCGCCTGAAATATTTGACAGTCGCACGTCCCAGTCTTAGAACAGAAAGCTCCGTTAAGGCATTCATGAGGGCAAGAACCTGCAGGGCAAAGAAAAAGAAGTTATCTTCTGGCACGCCTCGGCTCTTATAAACATAATACATCAGGATTTAGCTTGGACTAACAGTCACCACTGTTAACTCAAACAGAAAGCCTTGATGAGCTAAAGAATGAAACCCATCAGGCCTCTAGATCATTTCATTATGTGTGCTGTGAAGCAAAAAAGATAGGCTTTCACATCTCAAACTACCGCGAGAGCAAAGGTTAGCCTCCTTCAAGCAATTGAAAGGTCAAGTTCCCATGTAAGGAATCCCTGTCCCAGATGATGAGAACCAGAAATGCACAAGCCGCAGACGGTTCTGTTGACGGAGTTTGGCCCTGGCTGCTTGTCCATCCACCTCCTTCTCCAGAGGCAAGGGCTGTGCTAAAAGAATCGCATCCATCATTAGCTCAAGGGTCAAACAGCATAAAATCAAAAGAAAAGTCTGCTTTTGAGCGGGATTAAACATTTCATTTGAAGATCATATTTTAATCCTGAAGCTCAATTACAAATGACGCAAGCTGAATTTTGATGAGGCAGAAGCCGAAGTGGCTGTCACCAAAAATAATATTTTCCGTGAAAAAAAAAAGAGAGGAGCGATCTAAAAGGATCATGTTAAAAGGAGGGAACAAATCACGAGCAGCTCTAACCCTGATTTTGCCATCCTCTTCTGAGTGAGCTTTAAAATGCAAATGAATCAGAGCGAAAATGTTTTCCTCTCTTAAGGACAGGACATGAAGCAACTGGCAAAACACAACCAAGAGGGATTTAAATAACACATCGGGAGAATTAGAGAATACATTTGAGTCACCATAAAGTATTACTGGAGAAATTGGGCCTCTCTGGGCTATGTTAGGGTCATGCAAGATAGTTATCTAAATGGGATAATTTTACCAAAGTTCTGCCAAAAGCACGGATTAGAAAGCTCTGCAATTCCTTCCCACCTTAAGATCCGCTGAGTTAAAATGACTTTTTACATTTAAAAACAAACAAATCTCTAAGTATATCTTAAATTAAGGAAAAATGGGTTCTTTTAAATTTGATCAGAAATACAGATCTAAAAATGATGACTTCCATAAACTTAAATGCAGGATTTTTAATCCTAAAGGAATATCTATATTCGAATTTTGTCCTAGTTCACCATCTATATTTTCCTTAAGAACAAATGTCTAAACATTTAGTTTAGAAAATACATCTCCTTCAAGTAATAATTAACCATTGTGTTCACTATTCTCAAAACAAATATGAAATCCCAAATTAGCTGGGTTATTACTATAAGCACAAGGATAATCATTTCCAGCTCATCATTACCATTCAAATTAAATTTCAATTTTTCATCAGTATCCATTTCAGGGAAATGAGAAATTGGTAAACTAAAATAGGAATGCCAAAGACTTAAGGACGAAGTAATTGATTCAGAAAAACATTTCTGATAACCAAGAATGTTTTCCCTGTTGCCATAAATTTTGTCTAAGCAGTTAGCCTTCGTTATTTGAAAAATAATAATATAGATTTCCAACTGACCAGAACTCAGCTACTATAGTAACTATCGTGACCACCCCGGCTCAATTTCATGATGTTTTATATGGAAGCAGTAAGGAGTTGATTTAATGGATTCCCAAAAGGGGTCTTTGGAGAAGGCAGATGGAAAAGCAGGTGCAACACTGACCTTTTATTTTGCTTTCACCCCAATTAATTGCTTCATGGAAAAAATATCTTGGAGAAGTTGCTTCAAACTTGAGAGAAAGAAATATTTAAAATAGTTCAGTGATCAGTTCAAAATAAGCATGCAAACTTAGAATCTGAAAATGAGCTACAAATACAGAATTACAGCCTAAAATGTGACTTTCTATTTCGTTGGTTATTGAGGCTATCTCGGGGAGACAGAGAGAGCTTCAGGGTCGTGATTAGAAATGTGGATTTCAAGCCTTCGTTTTGTCTCTTACATGACTGACTCTCTGATCCTGGTTCTCTCTCTACCGACATTTGTGCAAGGATCAGGATTGGATGTAACCTCTGAATTAACAGATTGGCTTGTCTGCAAAGTAGCAGTTTTCTGACTTTTCAAATGTAGGCAGCTCTGGGGAATGTTCAAGGATTGGTGGGCAAAGAGGTATTGGTGGCCCTCCTTCCTGAAGCCCCAAGTAGGAAAACACCTTTCACAAAGGCTGCTGGGCCAGTGAGGCATTCTCAGCATCCAGAACAGACACACTGAAGTTCATACAGCATCTAAATATGTCTTCTGAAAGAGTGTGTGGCAGTTCGGGAGCCTGAATTAAGAGTACGAATCTCAAAGTCAGATAGACTTGCTTCTGCCATTGCTTCTCTTAGGCAAGTTCTCTTACCTCTTACTGCCTCCATTTCTCATTTATAAATAGGGATAATAATGGTACTTACTTGACTGTTTAAGGAACCTTGGTGGCACAGTAAGGTTGGACTGCTAACTGCAAGGTCAGTAGTTCAAAACCACCCCAGGTTCCAAAAGAGAAAAATGAGTCTATCTGCTCCCCATCAAGGTACTGGAAACCATACAGGGCAGTTCGCCTCTGTCCTACAGGATTTTGGTGAGTTGGAATGAATTTGGTGGCAATGAGTGGGTACTTCAATGTTGCAAAAATGGATTGATACAATATACACATGTAAAGCTTTTACCATCATGTTTCACACACAGAAAATTAACAATGAAGACATGTACACTAATCGGAACAACCCGGTGAAAAAGAGGAAAGCCCTCAATGAGACGGATTGAGATAATGGCATAGGAAAAACTGAGAGGATGGTGCGAGACCAGGCAGTGTTTCGTTCCGTTTGCATAGGGTCATTCCTAAAAATAGCAAGCAACCCAGATAAAACCGTACAAGTTTTAAAGATCAGTATGCATACAATTTTAGACTATTGAAATATCTCAGTAAATGACGGAGTATAATTCCAACTCAATTGGGTGTGTGATCTAAGTCAATATCCTCTCCAGTTTCTGATTTTGGTTGTTGATCAGAAATAATAATAAACTCCTCACATAACTGATGAATTGTATATAAGACGAAGTTAGAAAAACTCAAGAAAGTTGAAGGATGCTAAGAAAGGATGATGAAAAATGTTACCACAGGTAAATAAAAGTTCATCTCAGCTAATTCCAAAAGCAGTGTCATTATCTTTTAACAGGCAAACGTGTCCCCGCGGGATAAAATGACCCCTGCACTCTCTTATCTACTGAAAGATCATTTCTAAACTCTTGCCTCACACCATGGCTCCAAGTTCATTATTTCCTGCTCTCTATCTTCCAGGTTTTATCTTCCTTGCACCATCACACTCCTTCTTCAAAATAGATTAGGTTTTCAACCACTGATCACTTTGTTTGTCCTACAATAGCAATTCTCACTTTCTTCAGTTATGTTGCTTCCAGTTGTCCACACTGAACATAACTATCAGTATTTTGAAGGCGTGCTAGAGGTGTAGTGGGTAAGGAGTCGGACTGATGAGTACAGAGAAAAGATGAGACTTCTTGCTACCGCTTCACAGACCCGTCAGGTCACTCTGAGTTAGAGGGACTCAATAACAGTGAATTTTCTTTTTGATTTATCAATATTACAAACACAAATCCTACAACTTTATCTCCAAATGTCTTAGCGTCAATCCCTCTAGTAGTGGAAACCAAACATTCAACCATCTATGATGCTCATAAAAAATATACTCGCATCTGACTCTGTAGGACAGAGTAAAACTTCCCCTTTGTGTTTGCAAGGCTGTCAATATTTACAAGAGAAGAGCTTCATCTTTCTCCTGTGTATACTTTATAATAACCTCAAAATCATCTATGCCTCATGCAGACTTTGATCATGTGTGTTATCCTGCACAATCTCAATCTTCTGATCTAAAACATGGAATGATATTCGTGCCTACTTTGTTGTGATGATTTGATTAAATAAGGTGATAAAAAACCATCCCTGACATTTAATAAAGGCTTTAAATCTGATACCTATTTTTAATTAGGTATAAACATCACACTGGACAACCTTAGGCAATGGAGAAGGTATATAATTTGTTTCACACTGAATCTTTTCTCATCCACTTTGAGCCACACTTCTTCCATGTCTTTACGGAACTTTGATGGTCTTCTAGCTCTTGAGCCTACATTAGGTTTTGTCGGGTAAGCACCAGACTGCTCACCACAAGGTCCGTGGGTCACCGGGAGGAAGTTGAAGTTTTCTGCTCCATAAAGATGTATAACCTCAAAGCCACTATGGAGTTGCTATGAGTCAGAATCGTCTTGCTGGCACTGGGTTTGGTTGGGGATTTTCCTTTTCATTATCCCAATATCTCATGCTTCATAATACAACATTTCTACGAAGCTATACAGCTTTAATTTTTAACATGTCTGAAACAGGACTGTATCTTGCCTTTATGAATGTCATTGATAGGTTTTCTTAACATTACATAAATAATGGTGAATAATTGAAGATGTCTTCCATTCAGAAGCCTTGGTGACAGAGTTGGTAAATGATAGACTACTAACAATAAGGTCAGCAGTTCAAACCTACCAGCAAATCTGAGGGGAAAAAGATGAGACTGTCTATGCCTATAAAGATTTACAAAGTATGGTGCACCCTATATAAGGGCTCTGTATGTCAGAATTTACTCAATGGTCGTGAATGGCTCTTAGAGTCAATGAACCAGTTACACAGAAATCAAATCTCCCCACACCTACCACCACTCGACATTCTGTTTTTAGATAACAAACATTGCAATTATTATATCTCTAAGCCAGTCGCTGATATTTTGACAATACATACCACCTGACCTAAAATAAAGACATTGTTCAAATGGAATGAACTCCCTCACAGGTTGTTTGGAACCATGGCAATAACAGACACAACTTTGGGCACAGGTCACAAGTCTCTCAATCCAGTGGTTCATTGGAATGTTCTCTCAACATCAGATTTTCTACTGATAATGCTAATGTTCTTTTGAGGTTAATGTGGTTTGTTGAGAAAACTGTACTTAACATTTCTCAGACAAAAATCATGTTAACCATTTCCCATGACCTATAACTAGATACATACACAAAGCACTCTTTTTAAGGAAAATATTGTTTTCACTCTATATCCAATCCTTTGCCATGCTAGTATCAAAATAAAAGAAAAGTTTCTACTCTTGATAAAACAAATTAGTTTTGCCTCCTAAACACTCACAGAGCTTTTCTAATCTATCTTCCAGTCATCTACTAATTCTCATCAAAGAACACAGTAAAATATAAAATGCAGGCATTTGTTTAAAAAAAAAGCCAGCAGAAATTGATTACATTCCAGCATTTGGAAAATGCCTACTTGAACCTTTAAACTACTTGCTATATAAATGCTCAAGTCATAATACTTTCCAAAGAAACTTCTTTACGAAGTTAAATTCTTTATGTTACCAGTCTTCTTTAATAGAGCAATAATTTTAAACTTTCAAGGAGCCATCCTAACATTCAAGCTGTTTTGAAAATATTGTTATATTATCCAGTATCCACTATATAAAAGGATTGGGCAAAACGTTTTCAAATTCTGTGGCCCCTTTCTGATGGTGTAGTGCATACACATTGGCTGCCGTGAGAAAGGCCGAAAATGTTCACAGGAGCAGAAAGATGGGGCTTCTACTCCTGCGAACAGTCTCAGAAATTCACCGGCTCACTAGGAGTCGGCATTCACTCCATGGCGGGGGAATTCGCTTTTGGTTTCTCAGCCAAAAAAAAAAGCTATTTCAGACAATATGAAAGCTCTCTGAAAGGCATCAAGGCATCTCTCATGCCCTTTACTCAAAACTCACCACCATGAGTTGATTCCATCTCATGACAACCCTCTATGATAGGGTAGAATTCCCCTGGGGTCCCCAGCAATTCCATAAGGGAAAGGTCAAGCTATCTGCTCCCGTCAAAATTTATATCATCAGAAACCCTGTGTGTGGATACGAGTGGAAACAGACTTGATGGCAGTGGATCTGGTGTGTCTGGCCTGTTCTAAAGGTTGGTGTTTTTAACCCACCCACTGGTGCTAAAGAAACGAGATCCGCTTCCAGAAGGATTACAGCCAAGTCAGTCTGATGGAGCAGCTCCATTCTTTAGAATTGGAATCTACTCAGTCACAATGGGGTTTCTTTTTGTTCCATTTTAAATTTGTATTTGTTCCATTTTCAGGATCTTGACTCATATTGTTCCTAATTATCATGCCAAAACTAATTTTTTGGTAAGTAGATGAAATGAAATGCCATATAAATAATGGAAACTGATCCCTAGGTAACTGAGGTAAAGAGCAAAATGTACTTAATTGCAAACAACTAAACAGAAACGATGGGTGCATTTGAGGGTCGCAAAAAAAAAACCACCCCGCTATACCAAAGCTGCTCCTCCTCCTCCCTCCTGCCTTGCTTCTAGCATTTAATTCCCCTCTACAAAGGTCGCATTGTTGAAATGACAGCAGAGTCCCACAGCAGAATGGATTATTTCTCTGCCTCTCTGCCCATCTGAGGCATAACCTACCTGTGCTGCTAAAAGAGCTCTTTTCTGTCGATTTTCATTAAACCCGTTTCTGGAAGAAAACAAAAAGAACTTGTATAGTCAAAGGGCCCTAGGCAACCTGAACAAGACTTTCCCAAGAGAGAGCCAGTGTTTTCCTCCTGATTTCCATCACTTCATCAAAGAGGTCTTTCTTGGTTTAACATTTAAAGCTCCCCCCCCCACGCCCCCGCCCCCGCCTCCTTGGAGGGTTAGATTTGGGTGGTGGCACTCTCAGTCTCATTTTACAAAACCCAGGAGTGTCCCAAATCTCTCCAGCCTCTGATGTAAACTGGATTTTAGGAAGGAACTTTGAGGTAGAGAAATAAACAAAATAGTGTATTCTGCAGAACTGAAACACATATTTTCTCCACCTCATTTCAGAGCACTGATGAGGTAAGCAGGCCCCGAGAGCATATCCACTTTATTCAAATATAATTAACCATCTCCCTGCCAACATCAATAAAGAGCTAATTAACATTAATGTGACCAAGGACATCCAACTGTGATTTATCAAAATCAAATGGTAGTATAATAACTGCCATTAAATTATGAACATAAAAATGGTTGAAGTGGCAAACATAGTGTTCTATAGATACTCGATCACAATAAGTATAATCAAATGTTAATTAGAATTCTGCTTTTAATTAAGCAGTCCAGTTTCATCCAAATGTGATTTTTGTTATTTAGTGCTAGAGCCATTTATTCTTTTTATTACTAAGAAAAGTTTTTTTCACTATGGTAAAAATACTGCCTACTTGTAATCAATAAATGTATATTGATAAAATAACAGCATACAAAAGTAATCACATAAAAAGTTTTTATAACAAAACTTCTTTATAAAACTTTAAATTGAAAGTAAGATATTCCTAATAGCTACACTCCCTGAACATCATGAAGAAATCCTCTTGTAATTAAAATGAAAGGAAATTTTAATTGTTACATAAATATGGAAATGAATAATTTTTAAGTCTTTGAAATGTTTCCCAAAACTACATCTCATGCACTTCTCTGTAGGATATTTATTTTTACAAAGTATAAATGTATAGCTCTCTTCTGAATTTTTATCATTTCCATTGGTCTTCTGTTTTAGAGGACAAGAAATACTCACTTTGATGCTCTCTTCAAGATGGATGATGCACAAATATATCCTGCCAAAGTATAAAAATCAATATATATAAATATATAAGAATAAAACTAGTTTATCCAAATATTTTATTCATATGTATGGTCATTTAACAGATCATTAGAACCTAGGATCCAAACTTAGACTGAATTTCACTGTGAATTATCTTGCATTATCATGAGTATTTTGAGCAGCAAATTTCCTGGGAGACAGACATTGAAGTGACTGATAATTCCAGGAGAATGGTCAACATAAACAGATTTACATGATATCATGGAACGAGCACTGGACTTAGTGACAGAGATCTACTTTGTAGTGCTGGTCTTGCTGGGTAGGGAATGTCAAGATGAAGCATGTTACCAAACATACCACAGCACGATGGTAATGGACAAGTTCATATCCAATGCCCCTGTACGCTCAATGCTCCGGGACAGTTCCCTTTGGAATTTCAGTCTTTCCTAGGACTTCAAGATCACTTTTTTGGGCTAAATTACATCTAGCAAGTTCTGCAATCTCCCCTTTAGGATCCAAAGCATACAGCCATTTTCAAGGAGAAAAAGGGAAAAAAAACTAACAACTGAAGATAAATAAAAGCTTTGCCCCATAAAAAGTGTTTTCTAAAACTTGATTTACAAATAGAGTAGCTATAAATGTCAATTATTAGGCTCTACAGCTAGTGCCATGATTCAATTATCTCATTCTAATATAACTGGTTTGATAGAATAAGGAAGCTGAAGTCCTCCTTCCTCCGTACGTACTGCACTATTTCAAATGTTCACGTTGCATTCAGCCCAACAGAAGGGAAAAGCATTAGAGCCTCAGTTCAGCTGTGTGTCGTAGTAAAAGCATGATTTCAGTGAGCCGTCAAAAATGATTCAAAAATTTAAAATTAGATGATTCCAATTACTTTCCATGATTAAGAATTTTCATAAAAGATTATCTGGATGCCATCTAGTATAAATCCAGTCTAATGACTTATTTGTGCCTTATACTGTAAGTGGGAAATATGTATATCAATTGTAAGAGAAACTAAAGCAAGCAAATTTAAGTAAATATTTAATATAAATTCTTACCTTGTAATGAAAACAGCAGGATATGAAGCAAGAATATACTCCAAGGTGTCATCAAATTGAGTTTTCTCACAATGTTCATTTCAGTGCTGCCTTTCTGTCTGAAATGTAGCCATGATGGCATCTTAAACTGCGCACATTTGTAGAGTGTTCAAATTCTTATAAAAACAGCTACGTAGTCAGATACTTCGAAACAAGAATTCCTTACTTTCTAACTACATCCAGCATCTGAAGCTTACGAACTTCCAGGCAACTCTGGCTGTGAGTCTCTCATTAGGCATGCACAGCAGCTTCCTACCTGAGCCTGTATCACTTACAGCCTCCCCACACCTGCACATCATACACATCATATGTCTTTTAAAGTCTATCTTAGGCGTTCATGACTTTTTACAACAACAAAAAAGCACCACCTAAGGGGAGTCCCTGATGTCATTAGAGATAAACATTATATCTAATTGCACGTCTATGTTTTGTATTGTGGGGTTTTTTTTTTAAATAAAATAAATTACTCATCCGTGGGGAGAAAGAAAACAGTGCCATCAATTCTTATCAACTTTTCCTAGAGTGCCTGAATGATCTAATTAGGTTTGTTTTTGTTGTTTTTTTATTAAAAAGTAAGCTAAATTTCTGTGCACATATTTTCCACTAAAGTCCTATTACAGTGTGGTTTAAGTTGACATGTTCACTTGCCCACAGATCTTTCTGTTAAATATTTTGCAATGAAGGAATGAAATATCACAAGAAGGTATGATTCCAATATTTGACTCTAAAAGAAAATAAAATAACTCATATAGCCCTGAAAGCTGTCCCTCCACCCCTGGTTGTCCATCCTCTCTGAGAACCAACTAGGCAGGGAAGGGACAAATCTTATTCCACAGGAGGAGTCTTCTTCTCTGAATATGACTGACTGACTAGATTGGTATCAGAAAACAGTCAGAAAACACCAAAGACATGATCTAAGCACCATAAATGAGTGAAAGCAATTTTTATACAAGAGGTACCCCTGAGTTACCGGCACTGTAATCAAATTCATTTAACAAATAGGGCACAGTAGAAAGCAATATTTAACCATGTAGGAACTACCTTAATAGACAGTATAATCACAACAGTTCTTTAAAAGCTGCTATATTCAGACACCACTTCTGAAAAGACTGCCAGGTTCTGTTCTTGATATCCTGATACATTATATGCCCAATATAATTTTCTACATATACACATTTCCTTGACTCTCTACCAAATTTAGTGTTCATTTATTCTTGCTGTGCATCATCTTAATTCTTTTCCATTGCCTACAAGGGACCGACAGACAGGCCAGAGAACAGCTCACCTATAAGGGAATAAAGATTTAAGTATAAAAGCAAAAATATTTGGAATTCTAAAAACTAAAAATTAATCATAAAAACTCATGAGGGTCGGATGGTGGGGGAGCAAGGGTGAAAAAGAGGAGCTGATACCAAGGGCTCAAATAGAAAGATAATGTTTTGGAAATGTTGATGACAACATATGTATAAGTGTGATCAATACAATTGAATGCTGGATTGTTATATGATTTGTAGGAACCCCACGATAAAATGAGTTTTTAAAGGCTTTGAAGCTATGCATAGTTTTCAGTGGTTTTTTCCTCCAAGTTGGGGAGACATGCCTCCCTTGTTTTCTGTTCTCAGTCTGCAAGAGCCACAGCAACCTGTTCACTGTGGGTGGTCCTGGTGGGAAGTGAACTACTAGTGACATAGTTTCAAATATCACAGCAACACACAGCCACAACAGTATTACAAACTGACAGTCAAGTTGGCATGAATGCCCAGACTATAGACGATATCATTAAGATAGCATGCACGTAAACTTTTGCTCAAGATCATTCAACAGTTGCCCCAGGACATTGACAGGGACCTGCCAGAAGTTCAGGCCAGATTCAGAAGAGAATTTGGAACAAGAGATATCACTGCTGATGTCAGATGGATCTTGGCTCAACGCAGAGAATACCAGAAAGATATTTGCTTGGGTTTTATTAAATATGTAAAAGCCTTCAGTTTGTGGACTATAATAAGCAATGGATAACCTGAGAAGAATGGTAATTCCAGAATACTTCACTGTACTCATTCAGAACTTGTCCATGGATCAAGAGGCAGTTGTGCAAACAGGACAAGGGAATACTGTATGGTTTAAAATCAGAAAATGTGTGTGTCAGGGATGTATCCTCTCACCATACTTTTTCAAGCTGGAGAAACTGGATTATGTGAAGAAGAGTGTGGCATCATGATTGGAGGAAGGCTTTTGAAAAAATATGATATGCAGATAATACAACCTTTCTTGCTGAAGGTAAAGAATAGAAGTGCTCGCTGATAAAGATCAAGGATTGCAGCCTTCAGTAAGGATCGCAACTCAATGTAAGGAAGACCAAAATCCTCACAACTGGATTGATAAGTAGCATCATGACAAATGGAGAAAAGGTTGAAGGTGTCCAGGGTTTTGTCTTGCTTGAATCTACAAACAATGCTCATAGAAGCAGCGGTCAAGAGATCAACAGACACATTGCTTCAGATCAATCTTCTGCAAAGACCTCTTTAGAGTACGGAAGAGCAAGGATGTTACTTTGAGGACCAAAGTGCACCTGAAAGTTGGACATTGAATAAGGAAGACCAAAGAAGGGTGGATGAATTGTGGTGCTGGAGAAATATATTGAAAATGTTGTGGACTGCTAAAAGGAAAAGCCCATATGTGTTGCAAGAAGTAAGGACAGAGTGTTCCTTAGAGGCAAGGATGGCAAGACTTCGTCTTGTGTCCTTTGGACATGTTGTCAGGATAGACCAGTCCTTGGAGAAGGACATCATGCTTCACAAAGTAGAGAGGTAGCAAAAGAGGGGAAGGCTCTCAACGAGATGGCTTGACACCGTGACTGCTTCAATGGGCTCGGGCATAGGAATGATTGCGAGGATGGCACAGTGTTGCTATGGGTCAGAGCTGACTTGATGGCCCCTAACAACAATGACAAAATTGGCTCTGTCCCCATGTCTACACATATACGTATACAATTATTCTGAATTTTTGACTGACTTAAATATAGTGTGATCAATATTTGTTGATAAGTTACTTGTTTTGGATGTTAATTACATTCCAATTAATTTTAGCTCCTGGCAACCTTATATATAGCAGGACAACACATTGCCCAGACCTCTGTCAGTTTCACAAGTGTTGCTGTATTTGAGCCCACTGTTGGGACTTTTGTGTCATTGCATCTCCCTTAGAGTTTCCTCGTTTTGCCTGGCTCTCTGCTTTACTAAACACGATGTCCTTCTTTAGCAATTGATGACAAGTCCAAAGTAACTGAGCTAAATCTAGCCATTCTTGCTTCTATATAGCAGTTAAGCTGTAGATCCTCTAAAACTACTTTATTCCTTCTTCCAGCAGTCCATGGTAAATTTAACATTCGTTGTGGACACCACAATTTGAATGTATCAATTGTTATGTCTTCTTCTTTCTTTATTCAACTTCATTCCTCTCGTGTGTTTGAGGTGATAAAAAATGTCATATATTTGATTAAGGGCATGTTAAATATCACAGTGATATGTTTGCTTTAAAACATTTTAAGGATGTCATTTGCTCAATGAAAGGCGATGTTTGACTTCTCGACCAGTGCTTCTGTCAACACTACTGCTGCTCCACATAGAAGGAAATCATCAACAACTGCATCTAGCCCTCCTTGGATCAAGATGTTGTTTATTGGTCCATTTGTAAGTACTCAATTAATTAGACAAGATATCATTCTAAGCAGATAAGGGGGTTAAAAATTTATAATTCTACTCTCCTTGGTCCATAATAGCGGTCCATAATTATGCACAGACCCAAACACAAACAGAATATTCTAGATACTTAACAAGATATGAATAAAATAATAATAATAATGGTAAAATCTACTTTAAAATAGGAATTTTCATCCAGGGAAATTTTTTACATTAAGGCCAATAATTGTGATTATGAGGAATCATTATTGATTACTTCTGGAAAGGTTATAAATCCACATAAATAGTGCAGATTATTAAGCTTTCTCCTGATTATATAATAGTTTCTCTTAGTTTCATGAATAAATATCTTCCCATATAAGGATTTATAAATCATGCCTCAGGGATTATTTTTCTTCAAATCTAGTAATGGGTTGGATTTTTTCTATGACTTTTCAAAGTTATTCAGGTGATACACATCAAGGAAAATCCCAAAGGAAATACAAAGTTAAATTTCATGCTTCAATAAAATTAACATTTTTTATAGTACTCATCATTGTTTTCTAAACACTCCCAGAATTCTGTAAGAAATGCTTACTAAGCTTAATAAATACAGCTATATGAAAGTATGATTTCTGACATAAAGCTTGATGTTTTCTGGACTTAGTTAAAATTAACTTTTTCATCTCATGTTCCACATAGAAATCTTTAAAGTTTTGATTCGAAAACACATAGCCATTTCCACTTGATTAGATGGAAAATTCCAAGACTATGTCACCTGAGATATTTAGTACTATTGTCCAGTTTTGAACTATCATGCAGTCAGAAACTAGAAAGACAGTCCAGTGGAAAAAATAATAGTAAAGTGGGAAGACATCGCCAAGAGGCCATTCTTTTATAGTTAGCGATTAAGTATATGTTCCCTCGCCGTTCTTCCCCCATCCCAGTTTATAGTCGCCTAGGAGGTTAAAAAAGGAGTATGAACAAGGCCAAAGAAGGGAATAATAAAAACCTCAAGTTCTTTTTCAACAAACTACATTATGAACTCATTACATGAAATGGTAAGCTTCATAAAAATAGGCAAAATAGAATTCCCTGAATAGTTACAATAGAACAGAGAGTTTAGATGAAAGATTAGACCCAAAGCCACACAAAAAAGGGATTTATAACTATTGCTACATATAATTATTGCTGTCAAAATTCAGTTGACAGCTTTTATAGTTTATTCTCCCCTACAAAAGAACTTTGGCAAAATGTGAGTCAGCCACCAGCGTGTGAAGAGATATTAAGTTCATAAGAAGTCTGAGGCGAGTACATAATGCAAGGATTAAACAGTTCTCTTTCTGCTCAGAAAGCACTGCCC